AATGTATGTCAAAGGCACATTCAGAGATTCAGTTTTGGCAGACGCTTTTTGCATTCTCTTACTTTCATATGTGTATGTATGTATGTCTGCATATACATATGTATGTTTGTATATAATCTAATATAAGTATATGTTTGAATGTAATTTAGATTGCATTTTGTTTGTACAAGCTGGTATACATACCTACGTAGTTCTAGTTGCATGTTAATACAAAGGAGATACCAAACATCAAAACCGACTGTTAAACTGTAGTTAACGTAGGCCAAAAAGCAACGGAGCAGAAAGGCTTTCCACCCCTCACTCACTCACTCGCTCACACATATGGCAGCTGCAGAAACTCATACAAACACACACACATACTTACATACATAGCTAGCAGCAAGCATACAAGTGGCACGGGCTGCAGCACATTTGGATACACACACATGCTTATAATGAGCAGACGTTCTCCCATATACACATGCTCGCGCGCGCATACACACACGTGGACAAATGCACAAGTGTGCTATAATATAACACACGATCAAAAAGAGGCAAAAGCCGGAACAGATAGAAACCATTCGTTGTTGGTTCGTTGGGTGGGTTGTTTTTCTTTTTGACTCTCTGCTGCGAGCTGTTGACGGTTTTGCGCCACACACAGCCGTACACAGACGTATATGTATATACATATGTGTGTTTGTATTTGTATGTTGCCTATGCGTATGCCACGCTCGAGGAGCGTTCAGTTGTGATATATCAGACAATTGTATTTGACCATGCCTAGCGTACGGTTCAGCTGCAGTATTTAAAATAGTGAAATAAATAAATATATATATACGATATATATATATAAATAAATATAAAATATATACAATACTCTAGCTGCTGTGTTACAACTTTAGGAAAATGCAATTTTTGCTAGCTTTTGTTATTGTTACGTCGACGATTTTGAAAGGTAACGGTTCATGTCAGGTGTGCTCCTCGCTCTGTTCGCCGTTCGATGTTCGCTGTTCGCTGTTCGCCTCTCCTCAACGTGAAGCACTTGAAACTATTTATAAATTAAGAAATGAAATCATCTCTTCGTATACAACAAAATATTATTGCATATATATTTGCCTATATAATTCGCATATATATCTTTAATACACGCGAATGTATATGTGTGCATGCATGTACATATATTCAAAAATACATAGAAGATCGCTATAGTAACAGGATCTTGGTGCAGTT